CCTCCCTTGGCAGGAAGAATTAGGAAGCAAGTTGTCATTGGGAAAGGAAGTGTGTTGTCGCCCACCCCTTCCCAGGCTGAAGTCTCACAGAATCACAGGATGACTTATGCAGTCGTTCTCAGTAGCAGGCAGACTAGGCGCTGTACACGGTCGCCCTGCATCAGTCACTCTGCAAGTAGTTCCAAGGGCCCCATCGCAGAGGAAATACTAAGATAGATGTAAACCTTACCAAAGGTGCTTATAAACTGTTTGGAAGATAGAGTTAATATAACCAAATCCCAACAAAAACACATAAAGTATATAATTTTATGCCAAATTGCATGGTACAGGCTAGTACTATAAGTTTTGATTAAAATCTGGTGAGCACAGTTTTTATGTGAAAAGAATTGCTATGCAGTAAAATGAGAAAACGCATGTACTCAAAGTCACTTGGGCAATTGTGAAATTCAGTAGTAAGTACTTTCTGTGAATAACTGATTCGAACGCGAGCTGCTGAAGGTTGCTCCTAATAAAGACAAGAGAACATTAGCTGTGCTCTCTGGAATATATGGAAGGGACACTGACTCCTTTCTTTTGACCAGACCTTTATGAGCAAAAGACAAGTATAAAAACAGATTCTCTGCCAGTTAGTAAGAAAACAAAATTAAGAGCCCAGATACCATAAAGTGACCTAGTCAAAATGCAGAGCATAAGAATTTCCATACATCAGTTCAGCACCTGCTGACACCACTGAAAACGAAACGCCGGGCGAGGGAGAGAGAAATATCAGTGTCAAGCCAGGGAAATGAGGCCTTCCTCTTAGCTGACACTCCATCTTCACTTTACCTTTGAGCTTGACTGACGTTCCCAAAAAATGTACATTGGACCCACTCTGATAGCGTCCATAACATGGAAATATACCCTAAGCACTGGCAAAGCATACATTTCTCAAACTGTTCGGTATGATTTGATTTTCACAAATACAGGGCACCGTTTCCCCTATCCCAACGGGAAAAGGCTCTTTCTTTTTATGAACAACAGGCCTGAGACCTTTGTGTTCAAAACATCCAGATGCTTGATTAATGCATTTGCCTCTGCAGACCACAGAACCAATCAATTATTTTTAAAAACAGTTTTCTGAGGCATGGGGCATTTGTATGCAGCACAGTCTTACACAGTAAGTAAACCCGGTATGAAAGGTATTTCTTTTCCAAATTTCTTTTTTTTTTTTTTTTTCCCTACTGACTATACCAGGTTAATTTTGAGTTTGGAGCAAGGATGTTGTCACCATTTCTCAAGTATCAGCTAATATTCTTTCATTAAAAAAGATCTCATGGGCCCTGGCCAGTTTGGCTCAGCGGTTAGAGCATCGGCCTGCGGTCCCGAGAGACCCGGGTTCGGTTCCCGCTAAGGGCACGTACTTCGGTTGCAGTTTGTCCCCGGCCCTGGTTGGTCGTGCGGGTGGCAGCCACTCAATGTGTCCCTTCACGTCGATGTTTCTCTCTCTCTCTTCCTTCCTCTCTCTCCCTCCCACTCTGTCTGTGCAAAAAATGGAAAAGTGTCCTCAGGTGAGGATTAAAAAAAAAAAAAAAAAAAAAAGATCTCATGGCCCTGGCCGGTTTTGCTCAGTGGTTAGAGCATCAGCCCACGGACCAAAGAGTCGCAGGTTTGATTCCAGTCAAGAGCATGTACCTTGGTTACGATTCAGTCCCTGCCCTGGTCCGGGTCATGCAGCAGGCAACCAATCGATGTGTCTCTCTCACATTGATGTTTCTCTCTCTCACTCCCCCTTCCCTCCCACTCTATCTGAAGATAAATGAAAAAATATCCTCAGGTGAGGATTAAAAAAAAAAAGATCTCATGATAAGCAGATAGCAATATCTATATAAAATTTAATAATGCTGACTTGCTTAGATTCCCATTTATTTTTACAGTTACTATCTACTTATGGCAAGTTATACCGTACTGGCTTCCCATTTATAGCAATAACATAAACTCCCCTTCCAATAAATTTAAGTTGAGAAAGTGAATCAAATTAAAGAAACATATAGGGAATATAGACAATAATATTGTAATAACTAGCCCTGGACGGTTTGGCACAGCAGCTGGAGCATCGGCCCGTGGACCGGAGAGTCCCGGGTTCAGTTCCCGCTGAGGGCATGTACCTCGGTTGCAGTTTGTCCCCGGCCCTGGTTGGGGTTGTGTGGGTGGCAACCGGTCGATGTGTCTCTCTCACATTGACATTTCTCTTTCTCTCTCTTCTCCCCGCTCTCCCTCCCACTCTATCTGAAGATAAATGCAAAAAAAAGAAAAATGTCCTCAGGTGAGGATAAAAAAAAATATCTTAATAATTATGTATGGTGCTAGGTGGGTACTAGAAATATTGGGGGGATACAGTATAAAGTATATGATTATCTAACCACTATGCTATATATCTAAAACTAATACAAAATAATATTGAATGTAAACTATAACTGAAAAATAAAAATAATGTTTTTTTCAAAAAAATTAAAGAAACATATATTAAGAAAATAGTAATACAGATGGTACTCAGGAATGGCCAACTTTTTGCAATGAAAATCTATAACTGACTAAAGTTAGAGAAGTAGAGCTAAAAAAATTAACATATTTAAAATGTTTATTCATTCATTGACTCCTTATTAATTATTGTTAATATTGTCATCCATGTAATATAGGAATTCCTAAATTTTTATTTCTATTAGCAAAGAACTATAGTCTATTATTTAGCCTAAAGAATGTCTATAAAATATGTACACAATCTAGTTAGTATTGAAAGACAGAGGCAGAGGACTTTTAATTGTGTTAAGCTGAAATGGTCCCATGGTAATTTGTTCTACAGGAGTTCTTACACTGCTATGTCATCACAATATGATGTCCACAGTTAGGAGTACCTCACAAGATATAGTCCTGGGGGCACACCCAGATGGACATAAATCTCCCCTTTCTGACAATTTTTTCCAGAACATTTAGATAATAATACAGAGCTGCAAATGTTGGTTATACATAATTTCCTGTATATTCCTTTTTACCCAAGAAAGCTAAGTCAAATTTTAAATAAGTAAAAATACTAATATGATCTGCTTATTTTTTTAAATAAATCATGCATACATTCCAGTGCTTTACCTACTGTGAGTAACAAACACCTAAAGTACAACTCACAAATGACCAGAGCAGTAGCCTTTTTACTCCTATCAGGCTAGAGATGCAGAGGGGATCACTAGAAAGGGGCATGGCTTGCAGATAAAGAGATCTATATGGATGGGGCTGGTATCAGTTGTCTTAAGATGGAAAAAAAATTAAGAGATTTCTTACTCAAAAATAAAAACCTACTGCCATAGGTAGTCACCCAAAATGTCATATGCATTGCTGTGTTCTATAATATTATCTCCTTTATGGGTAAACTTAAGCATTCACTGACAACACTTACAAATGCTATACTATATTCTGTTTCAAATTAAATATATATATATATATATATATATATATATATATATATACACGAATGAGTGAATTTTAAAAAACTGAACAGTATAACAAACTGTAGGTCTGAGAAATATATTACACGTAAGCTGTGCTGTAATGTGACTAGTTTGTATAGAAGTCCAAAGATATGATCAATTTCACTGATATCAAGTCAAATCTTAAACTGGGCTAATTCAACGTGCTCTTTAGGAAAAGGAATTCCTACGATGAATCACGACAGAAATGTGAATCGTGTACATATGTGTGTGTGTGTTCTGCTCTTGCTGTTATAAAATAATCAACAGTGATTGTTTTAGTTTCATGATTATGCTGTGAACTTACCTTATGCCAAAATAGTAGGCAATGAGCATGGTCAACATGATAGCTTTGGACATCTTAATAACAAAACCATCCTTTTCTGCATCTATGTGGACAGTGTAAATAGCCCCAAACTCTCAGTAACATTTCAAAGCAACTTTAATAAATATGGAGAGATGGGCTAATATTACAGTAAATTAATTCACAGTAAATTTATTCACTACATGTGTTAACTCTATACAAAATGTGAATTAAGGAAGTTAACGTGAAAATAGCATTAAGCAATAATTCCAAATTAACCCAAGTAGCAAAATATAACTTTACACTCAAGAGTCACCCACTCCTACACATGTCAAAAGCACAATCACTAAATTTTTTCCTAGACTGCCCAGGTTTAGCTAACAATTGTACCATTACTATTGTACACTGGTACTTTTGAATAGAAATCAGAAACTAATTAACATATCATTCCCCCCCAAAAAAAAACATTATTATAAACATTTACATTTTAAGAATCCATAATATTAAATATTAAAGAAATGTGATATAATATTGTTTTAATCAAATAAAAACAGAAAGAATTAAAAAGAACTACCTGTGTCAGAGTAAAGGAGATAGAAAAAATATGCTTTAGTCTCCTGTATCACATACATTTAAAGCCTAAGGAAATGGGAGTGTTAAACATAGCTCCTGCTTTTTGCTTAGTAGGTATGCACGTTAAGCACCAATAGTTCAACTGGTTAACTTCCCAACCAAAGCAGAAATGCAAATTTTAGAAAAACAACCTATATTTAAATCAAATAAGTGAGCACAGAAAGCATGATGATACTCTTAAATGCCAAATAATGGTAGACCAAACAGAATTCTCTGGCTGTTTATATTAAAATGACCTCCCAAGCATCATTCAAACATTTCAGGCCCAACTATAATTCTGTGTTCACCCACTGCACGCTTGACCTCAAATGAATCTGGCAAGCAGGACCACGGTCTTTGAGACTGCGGGGAATCTCAGCCAGGAGACCGTGGGACTGCCACCCTGTCACTAACTCGGCCTCTACCTCCTCAACGTGCACCCCGAGCATGGGGGTGGCACTTTCAGAAGCAGGTGAAGAGGCAGCAAGGCTGAAGAAATAAAAGGGGGAGGATATAAAACGGTAACATAAGTTACGCTGAATTTCGGGGAGGCATGCGTGGTTTCATCGATGCCAACACCGACTTACCTGGTCTTGGTCTTGATCCCACTCCACTAGTGAAGTCCCTGAAAACAGAATTAGGGCCATTAGAAGAACTTGCTCAACTTGGACTTGACCAACATTTACTGCAAGTCCATACTTTGCTATAGTACAGGTTATAAAGATAAATGTTTGTTTTTTTCCCTTAAGACACTCTCAAGAGTATAATAAAGAAGAAAACAAACAAATCTGAACCCAGAGCAGGACTGATACCCACTGACCAATGGAAGAACCTCGTCCCATGAGAGGTGTTTATAAGCTCTAAGAGTGATTAAGAGCCTCAATCTCTTAGTGCCTTGAGAGATTTTCTTGTTACACTAAAATCAACATCCTGATTTTGTATGAAAAATAAATAATGTTTAAATTTTTAGATATATTATTTTTTCTATGCTTTGTTCCTGCTGTCTTTAAAAAAGAAATTATAACTCTTCTTATGAAATAAGATAATTTTTGCATTTTAAAGGATTATGTTTTTCCTAAAGCTTCCAGTATTGTTAACATCTCTTGTTTCCACTGTCCTAAAATTCTAGATTTCCTGACCATTTTGTAAGTTAGTCTCGATGCCTTCAACCCAGTGGAAGTCGCCTAAGATGCCACTAAGAACAGCCATAAATAACCTTCAACCTTCTTTTTTCCATGAAAATTTAGAGCTAATTTATTAATAGTGTTTTTGGAATAAAATAAAAGTGAAAAAATCTGTGCCCTGGCAAGTTATAAGAACCACACTTCAATTTAATGCAATCCAACAGAAATATATACAACACTGACCACATATGAGGCACAGGAGAGTCATTTGCTGAGTAGTAATGAATGAATACAAGGATTCAAATGAACACGACTGGTAACTCTCTTACCCTACCCCATTCATTTTAATCCTAGAAATCATGATACACACATGCGACACCCACCTAAGCTGTGCGGAATGACAAGATGGGCACTCATCACCTACCACCTAACTCAAGTACTAGGATAATACCAAAATCTTTGCATCCAGCTGTGAGTTTCTTCCCTCTCCTTTTCCATTCCTCCTAACCCCCTAGCAAACCAGTTCCTCTTGACCCCATTATGTTTCCTGTCCCATCCCCAGACCACGCTTCCAGAGCCTTGCACAGTTACCATACTCTCCCCGGCCCTGGGACAGGGGATGTGATGTGTAAAGAAACAGAAGGGATGGCCTCTGCCCTCAGAAAACTCACAGCGGGCACCACCTCAGCAGTGCCCGCGTGTGGGCAGGACGCCTCGGGCTGAGCTGAGGAGCAGGGCCTGTGTCCTGCCCCTCGGACCCTGTCCCACGCGCGGTCCCCAGCCAGTGCACGCGCAGCCTGTCCCTCAGCCTTCCAGACAAGTTCCGCACTGTCAACAGAAACAATGCAAACCACAAACATAAGTTTAAATGTTCTGGTTTACATTTTTAAATAGTAGAAGTAAAAGAGTAAATTTAATCTTAAAAGATATATTTTATTTAATCAACTATATCCAAAATATTATCATTTTAACATGTACAAAATATTGAAATGCATGAGATATGTTATGGTCAGTTTTATATTTAAATTAACATTAAAATAAAATTTAAAATTCGGTGCTTCCGTCATACTAGCTACATTTCAATTGCTCAAGAGTACACGTGGCCAGCGGCCTCTGCGTTCACCAGTGCATTCCAGACCCTTCCTTGGAAGGTGCTGGTCAATGTCGTCATAAACATCACGACTGAGGTGAACAGTCATGCCACCTGTCTGCACAACACCTCATAGGGCCCACTATCTTAACAGCTGGATGAGATGTAACCTGTGGACGTTTTTAGCCCTAAATTTACAGGAGCTCCTGAGAGCTGGTAACCACTGCGGGTTAACTAGAGGACGATTTCAGTTGTCCTGAGGAATCCAGTTTCAGACACTCTGACCCATTCTAAGGTGTTGTGTGCAACAGACGACCTGACGACCTGACACTGCTGGGCTGCTGCCAGCTCTGTCGCTCCTTCATGTAATTCTACCTTCCTCTTTAACAAACGTCGGGGGATCTTTTAACATCACCACCACACGCATCCATTCCTTCCTTCCACAAATACTTATAAAGTGGCCTGGAGATGGGCTGGTGAAAAGAAAACAGTCCCTGCAGTCTTGGAACTTACGAGATTATACGGGTATAGAAGAAAAATTGTTAATTTTTCTGGAAATTATATCACGATGACAAGTAAACATAGTCATCTGAAATGTAAAGATAAAAAGACTCATTGTAACCAGAAGGGGCGGCGTGGAACTCAGTTGTCGAGTCCACAGATGGACAAAAGACTGCAATTAGGCAGAGCCTGAGGGAAGTCTGCCTTTGATTGAACCAGATTGAATGTTTATGTCCAATAGAACATCGTGGCTGCAGAGGACAGGTTCCGATAGAGCAGGCTGTGGAAAAGACAGCAATGGCTCAACACAGAGAAAGTATTCCAGGAGTGTTTTATGGTGAAAAGGCTTAACACAAGGAAGCTTGTGCCCTCTACAAGTTTTGAAGTGAGCACTGATCAATACTACTTTAGGCTGATGAAACAGAAGTTCAGAGGAATGGAAGTTCCCACGGGATTCTGGAAGGCCATCACTTCCAACTCCCTTCAGATCTGGGGTTCAGACTGCATCCCGAATTCGTAAGTCAAAACGGAAATGAAAGCACTAAACGTGAGTGTTAGCTTGCCACTTTCACCTCAAACCACAATAAGGTGGAGATTGTATTAGCTTTATAATATTTTAAATCAACTTCTCACTGAATGAATTCAAGTGCTAGGTAAAGTATTAGAATAATTATTTTGTCACAGTAGTCCTGGCCATGAAGGAAATGGAATTCTAGGATGTTATATCATGTAAAATTCTGTTAAATATATCACTGAAATATTTTTAAATACATCAAGGAAATGTTTTCACATGCATTGTAACTGCATCACAGAATTTAATTGTGAAAAGTAGTCACTACTGTTTGATGTTGATTAAAAGAAGAAATATGTAACTTCACCATGTTGAGAGAATGCTTTCTGACCCTGACTGGTGTGGCTCAGTTGGTTGGGTGTGATCCGGTGCAACGAAAGGTTGCAGGTTCGTTTCCTGGTCAGGGCACATGCCCAGATTGTGGGAGGGAGCGTGCAGGAGGCAATCAATCAATGTTTCACTCTCCCTCTCCCTCTTTCTCTAAAAATCAATACAAATATTTTTAAAAAGATATTGCTTTCTGTGGCTAAGGCAACCACATCATCTGGGCTGAGCAGTCTTTTCCTCCTTAAAAGTCTCTTTTAGGTGGCAAAATTCATAAACATGTTCTGTGTAAATAAGTAACAGTATGTAGGGTTGAGTTCTGTTCAATGAGAGCTTTTCATCTACAGTGTTAATGGAGTCAGTACACTTCTCTCCAGCTCTCCACTCCTACTCCAATACCAGCGAAAAACAAATGAGCAATGAGCCAGGAAAGTTCAGACTCAAAGAAAAGAAACAACATGGTCTTACTAGTGATAAATCAAGATTGCTTGATTGTGGCATTGGCAAATAGGACAGGTTGATTCTGTCAAGCAGTGATCAAGCAGTATTTATTCAATTTAAGGAAGACTAGACATGAATTATGAAAGAGGGTTGGGGCAGAGGATACCTGCAAGGGAAAATGAGCAAGACTCCTGCTAAAAGGGGGCAAGATCCATAGTTCCTGAGATTACAAAAGGGCCTCTCTGGCCACATGTATGACACTGGATGGTTACAAACGTCCACAGTCACCTTCCATACAAAGACTAGGGTCGTGTGCACACCCCTGAATACATTATACATACGCTGATTTACCAAAGTTGTGAACCACAGGCATCTCTGATACTGCAAACATCTGATGTCTTAAACCAGCCTGCCAACCATATCCCGTTGCCTTAGCAACAGGACGCAAGCAAGCATGGAGAAATCTTGTTGCCTGAGTAACAGAATCTTAAAGAAAAAGGGGAGTGGGGCCTTAGGCTGTGACTATGGCAAAGGCTGTAGGTTCAGGCCAACAGGGGAGATTTCAGTCCCATTACAGTGAAAACTATAGAATTTCTGCTAAGATAAAAATCATTCAACTATTAATTAGCAGGTATTTGTGGACTGGCACCTCTGTACAGTACACTGTGCCCTGGGCAATGCAATGAGACCAGGCATAGTCTGTTACGTACCAACACACAGTAATAAATACTAATTGATGTTCTTAAGAAGGTCATAATACAGTGCCCAAAGCTTAGTAGGACCGGGGTGTACATGATGATAAAAGAGGTTGAAGCCCCTGTGTGCGTTATCAAATTCCACTACACAGAATAATTTATTTGTAAACTGAAATAAAATGTCATGACTTGCTGGATTAGAACTATATACACTGAGTGAGAATATAAAACCCAGCTAGAAACTGATAAAAGTCCATCCCATTCTCAGTTCTTTCCTAGGAAGGAGTAATAAAGGCAGATTTTAAATTACTTAGATCATTGAAAATGATTAAAGTTGGAAATTTCAAATAAAGCCCTAATTATTGAATTTTTCATTGCTTTTTCCTGACACAGCCATTAACCCAGCTGTTGGCTAACTCTTATCGATTTGCACAAAACATCAAACAAACATTCACAATAAGGATATCTATTTATATGACTATTAGAAAATAGATATTCTGTGAGAGTTTGACCATGAAGAGTGAATTCCATTTTCCCTCTTACTCCTAATGATTGCAGAGATGCACACATCAAAAGATGATTTTCACAAACACTGTCATCTACTGTGAGTTCCTTGAGAGAAAAGCGCTTAAGTCAACCTGTGCTCTCTGATGGCATGTCCCAAGGCACCCCCCACGGCACAGCTCTGCAGAGATTATTTTAGCTCAGGGCCTGCTCACCTCTGTAGGCACCTTCTGACTCGTCAGCCTTAACATTTGAGCTGTCTTCCATTTCCAGCTGTGGCCTTGGTCCTTGACCCCAGGTAAAGACTGCTCTGTGATGCTCATGTCAGTGCGCTTCAGATTGAACGCCCCTTCTGATGGTTCTAGTTTACTCGGTTTGCTAGAGAATGTTTAGATAATGGCTAGCTTTTATGTTTTTTTCCTACATTTTTAAATTAATTAATGGCTAGCTTTTAAAAACAATTTTAAGTTCTAAAATATATAGTACATGTTTCTTTTGTTTTCAAAGGGTTGTACTTCAACTGAATTCATGCAAAGAAGACAGTTTTGTGTGAATCCTTTTAGAAAAAAGGACTGGCATTATTTGGCAATGCTAAGATTCCTAAATTTATCTGATTGAAAATGTCCATTTTTATATGAAATTCTCTTCACTGGGGAGTATACCCATATGTCATAATTCATTTTTGTATTGAAAGGTTTATTTTGCACCTCTCTATACATTTAAGCAACTTTATATCATTGAATTAAGTATTAATAATAGAGAAACAGCCTTTTCATGATGTTTCTAAAAATATAAATAATCACAAACCTTACCAGGGAGCAGACTCCAAAGTGCACTTGTTAATTATTTGGAGGAGAGCACGTGTGTGGAACCTATTTCTTTGCAAATACTGTTCCAGGCAGGGACGGGTTTCCAGGCCAGCTCCAAACGTCTACCGAGCCCATGGTGTAGCTGAGGCAGAGAAGCTCTCATGCTCCATGTGCCCTTAGACCCCCCTCCACAGCAGGCTCTCGTCTCCCACCCGTCGCCTCCTTCGCTGGGCCCAGGGAGCACAACACCCCTCAGTTCCAGGCTCCTGTGTGTGGTGTCCTTGTCTATGACAAGTGGCAGCAGAGATGGTGGGTCAGGGATGAGAAGTCAGAGATGGGGGGTGGGAGGGGTCTGCAAGCCCTGTGACCCCTCGAGGATCTTCGAACTCAGGCTCCAAGTCCCCACACTCCCTTTCTCCTTAGGGTTGGGGACTGTTTCTCATTCCTCTGCTCTCTCTCTGTCCCTCTGGCCCCGGCTCCCCGCACTTGGGCCCATGAAGAACACGGTGAAGTCTTGTAGGTTTTCCTTAATGACCTTCCGGTCGATTATGCACTCTGATAGGTTTTTCTTGGGTTTTTGTTGGCAACAGTGGAAAAGAGTTAGGAAATTCAAAGCCTCCACCCTAACCCTTCCTGACCCTCACGTGGAAAAGATAAAGTTGTCAGTGATGTTGTATCTTTAAATGAACAAAAAATTATTTTCTACACAAACCTTCCTTTGCTGCCTAACTGAATCCCTCGGGATTTTTCTAGGCAGGTCCTTTATTCTGAAATTCATTTCCATTATCCTCTTTCCAGCACCCTCAAACCCAGAAGTAGATAGTGGTTCCCTCTGAGCTGCCCAGCACCCACACCTGCTCCCTGCAGCATGGCCCCCTGGCAGACTTGAAGGGCTGTCAGTTAGGGAGATCAGCTCTCCCCACAGCAGTAAACAGGGCTCTGATCCAAGCCAGGCCAAGCTGGCTGTCACGCAGGACACTGAATCCTAGGAACGGTACACGAAGACAGAACAGACCAGCTGGGAGCTCGGCGGACCCAGCATCAGTGCCTTACAGGTCTGCTGGTGCTTCCTCCACAGACGTAGGGGCTGACTGGGCTCCAAGCTGGGGCTTTTTAAATTTAATTATTTTCCTACCCATTCCTAAGCTTGAGTCTCTGGATTCCTAATTGTAAGTGCCCTTCAAAGCCTTCTTTAAAAAATAATTATTGATTTTATAGAGGGCAGGGATGGGAGAGAGAAACATCAATTTGTTGTTCCACTTATTTGTGCATTCATTAGTTGATTCCTGTATGTGCCCCGACCAGGGATTGACCCATAACCTTGGTGTTTCAGGAAGACGCTCTAACCAACCGAGTTACCTGGCCAGGGCCCCAGAGCCTTCCAATGAAACACCCTGCCGCATATGCCAGCCAGAGCCAGGCTCTTCCGTGTGCATCCAGAGAGCCTGACCGGTGAGGCCCGCCCAGCCTCCGCCTCCTGCTGCAGGCACACAGCCTCTCCCTGCCACGGCCGTCCACAGCCCCGAAGCCTGCAGGGGCCGCTTACAGCTCCGAAGCCTGCCACGGCCGTCCACAGCCCCGAAGCCTGCCACGGCCGCCCACAGCCCCGAAGCCTGCCACGGCCGCCCACAGCCCCGAAGCCTGCCACGGCCGCCCACAGCCCCGAAGCCTGCCACGGCCGCCCACAGCCCCGAAGCCTGCTGGCTGGGCCTAGCCTCCGAGCTAGCTGTCTGGTCGTCCTTCTGCCTGATTCTGCTCAGTTCTTTGCCCATCTCTGTATTGCTTCTTCCTGGTTGATGACACTCCTTGAATCTAGACCATCCTCTTAGCAATGACCGCCAACATCATCTAATAAACAAATACCACCCAGTATACTGTTCCTTGCTATCCTTGTTCTCTGCTTTCAAGCTTAACTTCATCTTTGCCTCCATTTCTTCAGACACAGAGAAAGGGCTGTCACTTCATCTTTCCCAGGCCCACTCTCTGGCTCCGAGCTACTCGGTGACTATTCATCATCAATTCTCTTCCATCCTCAGTCTCTCCGTTCAGGGGCTGCTTCTCCTCGGTCCCAATCGGCCTGCAGTCAGAGATTCCGGAAGGCCCTGTTCCATCAACATGCCCCACCAGCTAACGGTCCCAGCCCACCCCTCACTTTCTTCGGTTGCTCGGCATCCTTGCCTCTGTCACTTCTAAAACCACAACAATCATGCCCTGGCCGGTTTGGCTCAGCGGTTAGAGCGTCGGCCTGTGGACCAGAGAGACCTGGGTTCGGTTCCCGCTAAGGGCACGTACCTCGGTTGCAGTTTGTCCCCAGCCCTGGTTTGGGTGGCAACCACTCGATGTGTCTCTCTCACATCGATGTTTCTCTCTCTCTTCCTCTCTCTCTCCCTCCTGCTCTATCTGAAGATAAATGCAAAAAATAAATAAATAAATAAATAAATAAAAATAAAATAAAATAAAACCACAACAATCAAACTTCTGCTCACACCAGCCCCACCCAGTGCCATGGAAGCCGCTCTCAGGAAGGTGGGTCGCCAGGGCCAAATTGAATAGTTTTGTTTTGTCCTTAGCCCAGAAAACAACTGTTGCAGAAAACTTCTAACTATCCCAAAATAACAATTTCTTCTTCCGTTTAAAATAGAATTCCCCAAACTTCTTCCTTTTAAAATAGAATTCCCCAAACATATCCATCCTCCCTTGCAGCTGGATGTGGTCATATGACAAAATTCTGGCCAATGGCATGTGAGCAGAAGGGATGAGCACATCTGGGTCATGTCCTTAAAAGGAAGGGCGTCTCTCCACTTCCCCCTTCCACTTTCTGTGGGCCACAGGCGGATGTGAGGGGATCCACATTTACCATGAGGATACAAAGCTATACCCTGGAGATGTAGAAAAATAACAACAATAATAGTAATATATATGTGTATATATAGTACATATGTATATAATAGAGAGAGAGAGAGAGAGAACATGAGCGAGCGAGCCAGAACTCATAAGATCTCATGAAGCACAACTGCCCTACCTCCCTGGTCTGTCCTTGAGCTCAGAGGAACTAACCGATTGGCTAAAGATCACAAAGCTAGACTACAACCTAGGTCCGAGCTGAGTCTCTTCCCAGGAAGCTGCTAGGTAAACTACATCAGTCCTGGGAGGGGGGGCCCTCATAGCCTCTACTGCCGCATGCTCAGGGCAATGTCTAGCTATCAAGTTTCAATTTAGCCACCAATAGCTCAACTCCACTGAGTCTACACAGATTTCCAGGAGCTCAATGTATGCATACCTCGTTTGGGATTGCGCTTCTCCTCCTGAAGCACTAAAACTTCTCTTTAAAATGCCTGGAACAAGAAAATAAAAATAATTTTGTATTTTCCCACTGCAAATCTTTGGTTGGTTGATTGCTTAAAACATGTTGCATCCTATTATCTGAGAAACTATACGTACTATAAAGACTATCTTCATTTATGAAAGCATCAGCTAAAACATGTTGCAAATTAATATTTACTTGACAGGGTTGTCCAAAGGCCTTCTTCACAAAGAAAAGGTGCTAAGCAAAGAAACTCGGTTATTAATAGCTAACAAAAAACAATAACACATCTATGTCATAATCATCCTAAGACCCTTCGCAAAACAACTAGCTGCAAGTTACATGCAAATTTAAGGGTCCAACTTTTCCTTCCCCACTTCCCCACTGACCCTCCCACCATTGTCGCCATGGATATACAACACTGAATTCATCTTAAAGCAGTCAGCAATTAACTGCTTCTAGAATTTGCTACACCTTCACATGCATGGATAGTTTTACTATACAGTATTCATATGTTCCCAATTACAAATCAAGACATTTTACCTAGTAGGCTGAAATTTATAGGGAAAACAGAACAGAGTACTGGAAATTAGGATTTTCCCAGAAAATCTGGACTATCTAGTCACCAATTTTCCAATTAAGTTTGAAAAGAGACAAAGAAGGAAGCTAAATCACTAAGGTTCTAACTTTATCCTGAGGGAGACTATTTTAAACCTTCTTTATTGAGATAGTCATTGGTGAGAAGTCATATAGTCATCGGTAAGAAGAATTATTTACACTTAATTTATTTTATAGAGTATTTCTATTTACTCTATTTAATATTCTATGAACTTATTCTTTTAAAAGAGTTATTTTCTCTCCATTTTCTATTATAACATCTTTTCTTTCTGTTTCAGATTTATTGAGTGAATGGAACCCTTTCTCCCCTATAATCGTTAAATTTTATCTTAATGTATCTATTTTTTTCTTTCCCATACCCCAAGGTGACTATTTTCTTTACTGTTTCAAATTAAGAGTCAAGATTAACATATGGACTGAATTTATATCATATTTTTTCATAGTTCTAAACAATTAAAATATGTTATTTTAATGTTTAAGAATAAAACATCCCTTTACATTGTGAATAACATTTTACAAAACTTAGTCTACACCAACACTAATTTCTTCTCCAAGTTTCTAACCCCTAATCAACAGACTCATAAAGGTCACTTCCATCATTCCTGTGGTTATTTAGTCTTTCCCAGTTAGTTGTCTCCACTCCCCAGTTAGAACTTGCATTTGCTGGTAGAAATCATGAAACCATTCATTTGACAGCTGAGGCAACAAACCACCACAGTGCCGGTTGGTATGGGGCTCAGGCAGAGTGAGAGACACACCTGTGCTAATTAATTAGCATTGCACCTGGAAAACAGACCACTGGGATATATATGTGACGACATTTACCTGGCTCCCCAACTACTACCTGCTGGAATCCACAAACTGGTAAAGAAAGCTTACTGAATGTAGATTCTTTCAAAGGGCTTGAGCTGGAGCTGCTGGAGTTATCCGAAATGTCCAATTCATCGTCTAGCTCTGAGAATATATCTGCACATTAATGAAAACAATAAGCAAATGAACCTTGAACAGAAAGGAGTCCACAGTGTGTTCATGCTGTCAGCCCTTGACTAGAGATACCTTTCTCGATATTTTCCAAGTTGAAGGTATCATCTGACAGGGTTTCGTCACAGGCCCTGTCTTCTTCCTTACCGCAGGGGACCTGGGGACCGTCGGGGGGCAGGTCCCCGCTTTCGGAAAGCTCACTTTTCAGGCTGGCCGCGCGGCTGCTGCTCGGACTCGCCTTCTCCACGGGCGCCTGGAAGAGAAGCTGCGATTTTAACAGCCGCTTCCCGCCTTCCTTCTGCAGGGTGCAAAGCTCGTTAGAACGTGCATTAAAACACATCACACTGCATTATAAACATGTGCTGAGGCAGCAGCAGTTCAACGATACATTTGCCATCGAGTCCATTCATTGCAGAACCACAGAAAGTAAGTAGGTCTGCAAGCTACCACTGGACAAAAAGAATGGATGTGGCAAGGTGCTTAGTCACAAAGGTTTGTGCAATTAGGTGGGGAAAATGTAGTCCTAAGGCCCTGGCCAGTGTGGCTCCGTTGGTTGGCGTCATCCCCTGCACAAAGGGTTGCTGGTTCGATTCCAGTCAGGGCACATCGATGTTTCTCTTTCTCTCCCCCTCTCCCTTCCTCTCTCTTTAAAAATCAATTAAAATATGAAAAAAAAAAAAAAAAAAAAGTAAAGAAACGGTAGTACTAAGGAATCAACATGTATCAACTAAACTGAAATTTCTCTTAAGTTATTTTGAAAATCTTTGCTCTCGGACCTTCTCAGCACCACAGTGCTATAAAGCTTAGTTTCTTCAAAGCTCAAGGGCAAATAGTAGCAGACACAGCCAGGCCGTGGAGAGAGAGAGAGAAGAGGTCTCCTAAAAGATGAGCTGCAGCAAAGGGGAATTTCAAACACACAGGACCCCAGGCCACTGCCTGGCATCAGCACTCCACGGAACGGCCGGCCACGGGCTCCTCCGGGCTCCGCCAGCTGCTGTGAGCGTTTGTATCACAATCGCGCCGCAAGGTTGCCATCTGGCCATGTGAGTCCACGTTTCCCTACGCAGTATTATTAGAAACTGCAAGATTAGGTCTGATGGTTCGATAAGCATAAAGGGAAAAAGAGAGATTACTCTCACTAAATGCAGGAAGTTTTTAAATTTTCTAAGAAAAAGACAGAGGGGAAGGAACTACCTATGACTCAGCAGAAAAGTACTCCCTGTCTACTCCGTTGATTCTCAGTTCCAAAGACGTTCATTGTGCGGCACAGCTTGTGGTGAGTGTGTAAAACCTTCTGAGGCTGTGGGCTAGACAATGCTGAGCCTGAGGTATGCAGCAGGAAGACGAAAAGACAAAGGAAGAAAGGCCCAGAGAGCAGAAGACAGCAGAAGGCTGCATTTACTGGAAGGGGGGACATCTACTCATGAAGTGTCAGAGATCGCTTAGTCACAATTCAGCCCCAATGATGGGCAATGCTTGCTACAGAGGCAGGTTCATCATTTTTTTCCAGATATTTTTTTTCCTAAAATTAAAGTAACACCCATAGCTTCAAGGAGCAGGTTTCTAAAAACTCTGTGGTGGTAGAATTTGCAGATGAAACCAGTCAAAGACCTTATGAGTGACTGCAGTTAGAAGTAAATCTCTGAAAGCTTTCATGTATTTATTTATTAAACAAGACCACCAAAAAAAATATTAAAGATATTTTGCACATTGCAAACTGTCCACTGAATTTCTGTTATGTCCTTTTCCTGAGAATTTTTTTCATTTTTCCTTCCTCAAAGTTTCACCAAGATACTTGGAGATATTTCTTGCTCTGTGGAAAGTAACACTCAGTTAGTCGAAGGAGAATTTTAATTTTCTTTGTCTAGCCATCCATCCAATGTTCAATGTCTTCCTGCTTTGGGGACTCAGAATTCTTCAGTCCTGCTTCTTGAGTCCATCCTGGTCTGCTAAGTGAAAACCTGAAGTGGCAAATGCTTTGGCTACCCTTTGGCAGAGCTGAGCAAGTGCTTCTGGGAAATGTTTCTAATGCCTAAGGCTTGTAAGGGGCTTCCAGGGCCAGCGTCCGGTCTGCGCATGCCCAGACCCTGGTACCAAACCCAGAAGCTCCTTCTCAGGCTCAGAACTTTTCTGCAAAACCTCCTCACTTCTTCTATGCCCTCCTCCGTTTTTCTGTCCCAACGCACAGATCCTTCTTCCTCCAGCTCTGCTCAACTGAGGTCACTAGAAATTTACATAGACATAAACATCCAATTTAAGGTTTTCTCCTCCTTGTAACTTTTTTATTCTAAATAAACCATCCCCTGCCCTATTCTAAAGACCACAACTGCAATACACAGCCCTGTAAGGACTATACACTCAAGATGTGTCAAAGTTATCAACGTTGGAAGAAAAAAAAAAATGAGAGATAAATTTTGAGTTGAGAAAACTTTCTTTGGATTGATGCCTTTAGATGCCCAAATCCACATATCTGGAAAAGTAGCAAAACTTCGGCAAAGGCTTTGTGTCTCTTAAGAACAGGCATGGGTAAGAGCAGAGGGACATTTTTCTTTAAACGAGTGAAGAATGGGGAGAAGCTATGAGTCCCGAACAAGCAATTCCAGACTTCAGGAGGTCTGACTTGCCACCAAAACCCAAGAAGCTGTTGCATATCAACAGTCATTCACAACTGCCCAAATTGCATCCATGGGTAATCACTCGGGTGTTGGCTTCAAGTCTGCTAAAGGGAATTCCCATTCTGGGAGAGATGGTTCTTCAGACTCTATAAGCATGAAAGGTACGATAAAGTAATGTATGGAATGTGTAGTTTGCTTGGGGTTAAAACCTCCATTTCTATAATCTCTTGCAGCAGTTTTTGCTTCGAAACAATCTATCTGGTTTTCTGCAGGTGCCATCAACCATCTGCCACTAGAGACACACTTTCCCAAGTGTGATTTCCAGAGTTCTGCTTGTGGATGTTTGAGCACCCAAGTTATTATCCAAATCACTCCTTTAAGACCTGCGGGCTATTTCAGTCCTTTTCAAATCCCTGGATACTGTGCACACAGCAAATGATCTAAAAGCAGTTGTATTGAGATCAAAAGGGGAGAAGGGTTAGCAAACCAGGTGAATTCCCTTACAAGATGAGCAGCTTTTGTAACTGCTGTTTATCTTGCCCTTTTGTCCAGGGTCCTACATTAGGAAATTTCTCCGAGACGTGAAAGGACCCCGGTAACGGAACTTCTCCCTTTCACTTTCCCTTGGCTCTTGGGAAAAGTTGCAAAGCTCGCCTGTCTTAGAGGCGACTGGCCCAGCAAGGGCAACATGACTCTGACCCAGCAGGCACTGGCCACAGGCAGAGATGGTTGGGTATTTTTAGCATAACAGTTGAGGCCTGTCAAGAGTTGCCTCCATCTTTTATATAAGCATATAAACCTATTAAAGCAAGTTAGGGGTAGAAAGGGGCAGCCTTGGGGGATGGAATGTGGCTGCCGTCCTCTTTCGTACTCTTTAGTTCCTTAGGATTTTTCTAGGAATAGGAGGATTTGGGGGCATCTGTACCTCCTAGGAATGGATGGACACATTCTGTGTATCAATATGGCAGCAAAGAGAAAACAATGGAGGTTATACAATAAGATTATCATTAATATGGTAATCATCCCCATTATAGAAGATGCTTCCTGTCACAATTGCTGATATAGACACAATTATACTTAGCTCAGTTTTGCTCATTATAATGTAATTTTATGTGTGGAGCAGATCATAATACATTTTCAGCTCAACAGCAATTCTAACAGTAACAGACTGACATTGCCCAAATTAACTGCAGCAGTCGGAAGAAAACTAAGAGAGCCTAGTTTATTAAAACTAGTACACTTTTTAGAATTGCCCAGAATATTAGTTTTATAATGAGAGAAAGAAAAAACAAGAAATCAATATAAAGCATAACACCAGCTACATCCTGTAGAAGCTTTACTTTTAGGACCAGTTTCTTCCTTTTGTTCGGTTAATAACTGTGACTTGAAATACATAACTTTAGGGCTATCCAGTGCTTGACAGATATTTTATCGGCTGAGATTATTGCTGTCGTAATTAGCTAGTTCATTAATATTAAAATACGAAGAGAGCTAAGGGAAGGCCGGGCATCGTAAGCATGGGCATCTGGGCAGCTTCACCAGAGATCTGCATCCCCACTCTCCCCAGGGAACAACCTGTCCGGTCCCTGCAGATCACTGGGGGAAGGGCAACGAAGGGGAGGACGGATGCATGCACAGTGAAGGCGGGTGACACAGGGAAGCTGCTTGCCTGTCACTCTAACCTGGGGAAACAGTAACTGGCTAGAGAGGGTGGAGCCCCTGCACGCGCACAAAATCCTGAAGGCTTCGTTGGATGCGCTCTCAGCTGAAATACCCAGAGACAAAGGGATTCTCTCTTCCCGCCTGCACTTCTGTTTCTCGTCACTACAGGACCCACACTCGCCAGGTGCCTCCATAGCATAAGCTAACCTAGCCAGATGCTGGACCGGGCTGTGCGAATACAGAGCAGAAACTCCGGGCAAAGGCTTTAATCTCAGCCTTGCTGAGGACAAAATGGGACTTTTTTCTGTGGCAACGCAGGAGGAGATGGGACCTAGAAAGGAGAGCCCCTTGAAGCCACATTATCAATAAAGCTTCCCACCATGGCTCATCCTCCAGGGATCCTCAGGAAATTCTCATTCCCAAGGCGCCCAAGAAGCCCACTTCTACCAGCGACAGGCGGGGACACAAAGGACAAGCCACCCACCGAGAACAAGGTGATCTCTTTTCAGTGGCGAACCAAGTGCTCTGTTTTTCAGGGCTGATGGCAGAAAGAAAACTCAAAATAGGAAGCAGATTAGTGACTCAATATCATTGTACATAAACATAGTCCCTAAATTTTATTTTTTTAAATCAGCCAGCGTGGTCAGATGGCGGAAGGGGCCACGTAGACCCAGGCATCGCTGACTGAACTGCCCACGTCAGAAGGGCAAGGGGAGGCCCAGCTCCTCCCAGGCACGTGCTCGGGGCCCTCGGCTTTGCCGTCACAGAGGTGGGCTGATGACGCAAGGCTGGGAGCGGGTCCCTCAGGGCGGAGATAGAACTCCTCTGGCTCCACGGTTGTCTGGATGATGTCTGGTTTCCCTGATGAAACCTTGAAGCATTTCCCTTCTCCATGCCCCACATGCCAAGTACAAGAGTAACATGTTCAGTTACACCAGAAAAACTGGTGTCTGGGCTTCGAAAATAGCAAACTTTA